CCCATCCACTGCTTTAAAACCAAACTCTCTAAGTTACCAGAGAGTGACAACTGCTTCAAAGTAGTTACTAGCTTTAACATTCGCTTATCTATCTGAATCCAAGCTTAGGCTTAATTTTTGGCCTCTTAAAGCTTTCTTTTAATTTCTTTTAAGCTCATCTATGAGCTTAAAGAGGACTGTTCAAATGTATTTTATTTTATTTATTTTTTATTTATTTTTATTGATTTCTTACAGAGAGGAAGGGAGAGAGATAGAGAGTTAGAAACATCAATGAGAGAGAAACATCGATCAGCTGCCTCCTGCACATCCCCTGGGGATGTGCCCACAACCCAGGTACATGCCCTTGACCGGAATCGAACCTTTCAATCCGCAGGCCGACGCTCCATCCACTGAGCCAAACCGGTTTCGGCTCAAATGTGTTTTATTCTGTATTTTAGGTGTCTTATAATATGGTGCGTCTTGATTGCCCTGTTTTATTGTCACTTTGCCCCAGAGGACGTCCTCCTGGGGGCTTTTTCCATCTGTGCAGTCAGCCTCTGCCCAACCCACCATTCCTGCCAGATACCTTCAGGCCCCTGGGCCACCTGGATACAAATATAGGATGGAGTGTAAAGTTTTAAGGCCTTTGGTAGACTTGGTAATCAACTATTCCAAGTATTTAAGAGATATGTGAGGAGGGAGATCACCAATTAGCAGATGTTTAACCGCTTTGCCGTGATCAGCGAATTCTCCATTTTTTGAGCAAATTGTCCCAATCTGATCCAGTTTTCTTACAGGAAACACTGGGCAGAGGGGATCTGGGATTCTAGCATTTGAATTGGACAGAGTCAAGGGAAGGCAAGACTGGGAGTTGGACACTTTTTAATTTTTTTTTTTTATTAAATCTTTATTGTTCAGATTATTACATTTGTTCCTCTTTTTTTCCCCCCCATAACTCCCCTCCTCCCAGTTCCCGCCCCACCCTCCGCCCTCACTCCCCACCCACTGTCCTCATCCATAGGTGCACGATTTTTGTCCAGTCTCTTCCCGCATCTCCCACACCCCTTTCCCCCCCAGGAATAGTCAGTCCATTCCCTTTCTATGTCCCTGATTCTATTATAATCAACAGTTCATTCTGTTCATCAGATTATTTATTCACTTGATTCTTAGATTCACTTGTTGATAGATGCATATTTGTTGTTCATAATTTGTATCTTTACCTTTTTCTCCCTCTTCCTCTTCTTAAAGGATACCTTTCAGCATTTCATATAATCCTGGTTTGGTGGTGATGAACTCCTTTAGCTTTTCCTTATCTGTGAAGCTCTTTACCTGACCTTCAATTCTGAATGATAGCTTTGCTGGATAAAGTAATCTTGGTTGTAGGTTCTTGGTATTCATCACTTTGAATATTTCTTGCCACTCCCTTCTGGCCTGCAAAGTTTCTGTTGAGAAATCAGCTGACAGTCGTATGGGTATTCCCTTGTAGGTAACTGAGTTTCTTTCTCTTGCTGTTTTTAAGATTCTCTCTTTGTCTTTTGCTCTTGGCATTTTAATGATGATGTGTCTTGGTGTGGTCCTCTTTGGATTCCTTTTGTTTGGGGTTCTCTGCGCTTCTTGGACCTGTAAGTCCATTTCTTTCACCAGGTGGGGGAAGTTTTCTGTCATTATTTCTTCAAATAGGTTTTCAATATCTTGCTCTCTCTCATCTTCTGGCACCCCTATAATTCTGATGTTGGTACGCTTGAAGCTGTCCCAGAGGCTCCTTACACTATCCTCGCATTTTTGGATTCTTTTTTCATTTTGCTTTTCCAGTTGGGTGTTTTTTGCTTCCTCGCATTTCAAATCATTGACTTGATTCTTGCGCTCCTCTGGTCTGCTGTCGGGAGTCTGTATAATATTCGTTATTTCAGTCCGTGTATGCTTAATTTCTAGTTGGTTCCCCAATATAACATCGAGGGTCTCATTAGTTTTCTTGTAGATCTCATTAAGTTTATCGGCGGCTTCTAAACAGTTCTTGAGAGACCTTAAAAGTGTGGTTCTGAACTCTATATCTTCCATTGACAATTTTGTCCTGTTTCTTTGTCTCCGCATTTTGTTATGCTTCCTTGGTGCACCCCCTAGTGGTCTTTGTTCGCAGTCTTATAGTTAAATCTTGATTGTTGTAGCTAATTCCAGGGAGGGTTTGACCTCCAGGCCAAGTGGCTATGAGAATCAGCTGTGTCAGCAGTGAGAGAACTTCTGTCCTCTAGGGAGGTGCTAATCTAGCCTTTGCCTGAGGCTATCCGGCAAAAGCCTCTGTGCAGGGCTTGGGCAGGGCGGGTCGCACAGGATCAACAGGGTGGGCCGGAGAGAGAAGTTATGGCTGCTCTCAGTCCTGTCCCCAGGGGCTCTGCCTCTCTGAGTCCCAGCACCCGCTGCACAGCTCAGAGAGAAAGCTGCACTCGCTCTGACCGAAGCCAGACAGTCCCGCTTCTCCCGTTTGAGTCTGGGTCCCTAAAGACTCGCCCGGATCTGGAGCTCAGAGTCTGTGACTCCCTCCCGATTGAAAACGCCAACCGCGCCCTCCGCCGCCAGCCCGCTCGGCGCACTCCGCACCTCAGAATTTGACTTCAGCACTGCGCCTCCTCTGAGTGTCCGTATGCGTTTCTCTTTCCTCCTAGTTGTAGGACTTCCACTCAGCCAGCGTTCCTGTGGTTCTGGGTGATGTCCCTTCCGTTTTTTGGTTTCACTTTTGAAGTAGTTGTTCAAAGCAGCAAACTCTGGCGTTAACCTATGCCGCCATCTTGGTTCTCCTGTTGGTTTTCTTCGAGAAGTTCCTTTTTATCTTTTTTTAAAATTTACTCCAATGTACCGAGCATTTTCAAATGTTTGTGGCCCTTAATCTTTTGAGGGAAACATGGACCTTTTTTGAGAATCTGGTGAAATCCTCTCCTTTCTATGCCATCTGCCTCTGGATTTTCAATGAAAAATCTTCTGGCTTGAAAATCTTCATCTTCGCCAAAAGACAGTTTCTAGAGCTTTGGAAAGTTGTCACACTAATAGAATCATAAAATGAAATGGCACAGGGCAGCTATCCTCCAGATTGGCACCAATCCTAATAAACAAATTCTTTTCTCCACGGTAAACTCCTGCTCTTGCTTTGCTTTGGGTTTGTGTGTGCAGGCGGATGAACTCTTCAGTTTGGTCTTTTTAATTTTTTTTTAATGACAAAGGTACATTTTCACGGAACTGACTTTGCCACCACCACTTTTGCCCTCATTTCATAGGGACCAGGACTTATGCAGACCAACTTCGAGAGGAGGAAGCCGAGGAGAGGCCGTGCCAGCAGTCAGCAGCCAAATACTGGAAGCCAGAGAGCACCAGTCTGATGAGGGAATGTGCAGGAGATTCGAGGAATGACTATGCTCATCTCCATCAGCCAGAAAAGCTTTCCTGCCGGAAGCTAATTCCAGCATGTCATAAATGCAAGAAGGTTCATCAAAAGGTTGATGGAACCTTGAGAATTGCCTTCTGGAAATGGCTAAGGGCATTGCCCCACACCTAAAGATCTGCATAGATGATTGCTTGCTGCCTGACAGCTGAGGGCATTTTAATCTACATGTTATTGTCTCCTACTGGACAAACACCCAAGCAGCCAGCTAGGCAGTCCCCTCGTCTGACAATGGATTCTGTATTCTAAACCTTGCCTTTGATCTGTACATCTCCTTTGCCTCAGGACAGTGGTTCTCAACCTTCCTAATGCCCCAACCCTTTAATACAGTTCCTCATGTTGTGGTGACCCCCAATTTCAGTTACAAATTGAACATAATTAAAGCATAGTGATTCATCACAAAAACAACATGTAATTATATATGTGATTTCCGATGGTCTTAGGCGACCCCTATGAAAGGGTCGGTCGACCCCCAAAGGGGTCGCGACCCACAGGTTGAGAACCGCTGCCATAGGACACTTGGCATTAAGAAAAAGCAAGGGGTGCTGAGACAAGCAGAACTTGGTTCCTATAGCCTAGCTCCTCGGGCTCCCCAAAAGGCCTTCCAAAATTATGTTTCGTCTCTAGACTCTAATACTTCACAGCAGCCCCTTCTCCAGATTCCTGAACCCTCCTAGATGCTGGCCAAGACCCCCAGCATTACTTTCCCAATCCAGGAAAAACAAGAGACTTTGGGTCCAGTTACATTAGCAATTCCTACATTTCCCTCTTTTAATGTCAACTTGGCAGCCAGGGAGTTCCACTTCGAAAAACCTGTGATGTGCCCTGGCGGGTCAGTGGTTAGAGCGTCATCCTGTGGACCAAAGGGTTGGTCTCTCTCAGGTTCAATTTCCGGTCAAGGGCATGTCCCTCGATTGCAGGTTCCCCAGCCCTGGTAGGGGCATGTGTGTCTGTGTGAGGCATCCCATTGAAATGCCTCACATAGCTATTCCTCTCTCTCCCCCTCCCCACTCCCTTCCGCTCTCTCTGGAAATGAATGGGGGAAAAACCCTCAGGTGAGGGTGAAAACAGCAACAACACACAGTGTGAAAGGGCGAGGGCTACGCCCTCCATCTTACCCCAGGGTAAGGGCTATGCCCTCCATCTTACCCTGGATCCTCCATTTTTGGGCAGCCATGTGCTCAGCAAGGAGCTTCTTCCCAGAAGCCCAAGCCTCTGCTAGCCACACCCAGAAACCAATGACAATCAAGGGAAGTGCGCGCCATAGATGTGACCACATCCTGTGTAACAAGACACCGACTTGCGCCTGGCCCATCGGCAGGGCCCACAGTCCTTTCTCCTCCCCTTACTCCAACCCCCCTATCAAACCCCTCTCCCTCTCTCTGCCGCTTGCCGCTGCATCGGTGAGTGTGGTTGGGGAGCCGAGCTAGCCCGAATAAAGACTCTTTGCTTTTGCATCGGACTCGGCTGGCTCCCTGGTGGTCTTTTGGGGATCTTGAAATCTGGGCATAACAAGTGACATGAAGCCAAATGAGCCAAGTCTTTATTTCAGAGAGGAATTACTCCCGTGGCGGAAAGTTTGTTTCTTTGGTTATCTGTTTTTATTCATCTTCTTTAGGCTTTGCCCCACGTGAAGCCGAGGACGGGCCTTCTTCTTCTCCTCTTTACTTTTACGTCTTAAGAAATCGGTGTCCCTGTGGTGCCTCGTGGAGGCTGGGGAGATCCGTTTCAGGAGGGTGTACAAGAAGTAGGCAGGGATGGGCAGGATGGTGAAGACAGTGAGCAGGGCGAGCAAGACTTTCCCCCACGGCGGATAGTTATGGAGCACTTCGTTTGACTGTGGAGGAAAGGGAGGAAGGTTTAGAACACCCAGGTTATCTGAAGTGAGATGCAGAAGGTGGGGGGAGGAGATGAACCAAGGCAAGAGACCAGATCACTTGAATCCCCAGGGAATAAGATGATTGGGTCCCAGAGGCAAGAGTGGATTGAAAAGTCTGTCCCCGTTCCCTCGAGGGGGGGTAGGGTGGGTGTGGGGTCCGGGGTCTGTGGGGGGAACTCACGGTGCTGGAGTTCCAGGCCATGTAAGTGATCGGCCTCACATATAGATGAATCAGGATGCTTACAAACAGGACCAGCAGCACAAATGGAGACACAAAGCACCATAGCCAACGATAAATGGGGGAGATGGGGCGCCCCAATATGATAATCAAGTCAGCAAGGAACCTGGGAGGAAGGGTCATAAGGCTTTAGAAGGGCCCTTCCGGCCTTACCCAGCTTTGGGGGAGGGGTCAGCCCAAACCCAGCCTCCGAAAGACCCCTTCACATTTCTTAGACCTTTCTGTTCATCTCCAAACCAGTCTTCTTACCTCTAAAATCCATCCCTTTTCAGGCTAATTTCTGTCCCAGCCCCAGAATTTAAAAAAATAGATATTTTTTTTCACCTTCAGGATGAAGCCAAGTTCCTAAATGTAGCTTCTTTAAGCCCATGTACCCCGCTATCTTTAGTAATGCGATACCTTCTTAGGCGCATTACAGACACAAGTCAGGTTCCTTCTGCCTAGAATGCTCATCTCTTTCCCTTGATGAACTCCCCTCCATCTGTCCAGATCCTGTTTAGGCATCCCCTCATTGCCTGACTCGATTGCTAACCACCTGTGTTTCTCCAGCACCCTGGGCAGCCCCGACCACCTGCCCCAGGGTCTGCTTCTGTGCCTTCCTCTTTGGACTCTGAGAGAAGAAGCTAAATATAATTTATCCCAGTATCCGGAGGACTCACTACAGACCTGCTTGGAGCGTGGGAGGCCCTAAGTCCTATCTGAGCGGGAGCGAGTGTGTGGGCGAGTGTGCGTGATGCCGAGAGCCACCGTCGCCTGGAAAGGCTGCCACCCTTGGATGGCACGGTGCTTCTCAAAGGTTAGGGCGCATCGGGATCCCTTCGGGCAGCGGTTCTCAACCTGTGGGTCGCGACCCCTTTGGGGGTCGAACGACCCTTTCACAGGGGTCGCCTAAGACCATCGGAAAACACATATATAATGACATATTGTTTTTGTGATGAATCGCTATGCTTTCGTTATATTCAATTTGTAACAATGAAATTGGGGGTCACCACAACATGAGGAGCTGTATTACAGGGTGGCGGCGTTAGGAAGGTTGAGAACCGCTGCCTTAGGGTTTCTGTTAACATGCAGCCACTGGTCTGAAGTGGAGCCTGAGGGCCTGCATTTCTAATGAGCTTCCCAGCGAGGCCAGTGCCGCTGCTCCATAGAGCGCACTTGGAGAAGCAAGGGCGTCCATGTTTCAGATGTCCAGACCTCCCTGGTCAACAGTAGGGCTCAGGGTCCCCTAGGTCCTGCTACAGACTGTTCACCGCTTTGCCATTGTACATTTATTTTTCTCCCCAAACCAGCCCATGTCTTTCTCCTTCCCACCCTCCCGGGAGCTGTCCTTAGCCCTGGGATCAGAGCAGGAGGGGCCCCGTTCTCCCCGAGGGTGTGTGGAGGGAGAGCCTGGGCTTGGGACTTCACCTCCGGGCCCCATAGATCCAGGCCATGGACACATTCTCCAAGATGAGGATGAGGAAGAGGGGCAGAGAGGCCCAGTAGTCATCCAGCAGGTTCACGTAGTAGCTGCCGGAGGGCTGCACGAAGAAGCAGCTGCCCAGGAACATGGCCACGCACACACCCACTGGAGGGGGAAACAACCAGGCTGGGATCAAGGTCAGAATTCACGCTGGGCTGGAGGAGTCCTGGTGGGGTTAAGCTACACCACGGCCCCGCCGGCCGCCGGTGAGAGCGAGGTCATAGGTCAGAGCACCTGTGAGCAGGGTTGTGTGTCTCCGAAGGCAGGAGAAGGTGTCCTGGAGCGGGGTGATGATGCCCTGCAGGATCCCTTGCATGGTGCTCAGCCCCATGGTCACCAGAAACACGAAGGTGATGATGGCCCAGAAGGTGGATCCAGAAAACACAGCGATGATTTCAGTAAATGCCACAAAGGCCACACCCGGCCCCTCCATAACCTGTAAAGTGAAAGGAAGAGGGGGGGGCGGGATCAGAGAGCCCGTAGAGTCCTAACTGGGCTCTTGTCCCCGCCCCCCCGAAGTGATCTGCAGCGCTGTTCCTTAGTGGCATTGTAAGGAGGACTTCCGCCCGCAGCAGCTGCTGGTCTGGCCTCTCTCTGGTGTTGGCGCTCAGCAGGCTTGTACGAACGCTGGCGCTTGCTGCTACAGAGCCTGCCATTGCCTTCTCACTAAAGGAGGCTGGTAACCTTGCTCGGTTGCCCGGGATGCTGCTCAGAATTGCCTCCCTGGATTCTATGGGCCCTAAGGAGAGCTGGAGTTTCCAGTGCTCTGGGGGAGGTGAGGGGAATTCTAGGACTCCCCTCCCCCTCCCCCCAACCCTTACCTACCTCCTTTAATTGCTCAGATAAGTCACAATTGGACAAGTAGGGTAGGGCCATGAGTTTGGCTCCTGCAGGGAGGTTGCCAAACCACCTGGGGTAGGTGTAGCTCATATGCTGATACAGGCTCTCCGGGAGCCGGAGCTCAGGAGGCAGCACGCCCGCAGTGACCAGGTTCGTCATTCTCTCAGCATTCCTGGGGGCGGGAGTGGGATCATGTACAGTCATTTGGGCCTCAAAGACAACTTCTCTCTTATTTTCTGGACGAGAAGGGAAATCGCTAGCTGGGTCTCGGCTCTGTGGTTTTCCTGAGGGCAGGGATGATAGTCTGATTCACCATTGGCTATGTTTCCAGAACTCAACTCAGGGGTTGGTAGATAGGAGATGCTTTATAAAGAAATGTCTGATAAGCAGTTTTTGAAATGAATGGCAGAGGGGATGAAAATAGGGAACAGGCAGGGGACACATGTAATACTTTCAACAGTTAAGAATTACTTTTTAAAAAAAGAAAATAGGAAATAGGCTATAGGGGTTCGTGCTGTGGGCATTTTTTGTGTGTGTTTGTCTACTGGTTCAGTTGAAGAGATCCCCTAATTTTTCCGTGGCGACTGCCATGGAATGGGGCAAACACACCTTTGAAAACATCCAAGTTTGGGGTTTTCTTCGTTTAGAAAGGCAGCTCGTAAAGAGAGAGATTTCAAATGTTTCTAAAGTTTAGGATGCTCACATCTGAGGGACCCATGTTGACTGAGCCCACATCCCTGACGGATGGGGCCCTAGACTAGAGTTCTACGAGCTATTTCTAAGACTTGGGTCTTTGGGACGCAATCCATATGAAATACTGGGCTCACTTCAGGTAACATTTCTCACTGTTCTCTGTGGCCAAGTAGCCCAACGTGGCAAATACAAACAGCGTGGCAGTCACAGAGATAATCAGGTTGAGAAGAGCCACGGCAGAGGCATCCATGATGCAGTTGTTGGACCGAGGGACGTATGAACTGATGGCAGTGAAGCTGCCAAAGCCGGAGCCCATGGACAAAAAGAGATGGTTCCCTGTCCGGCGCCACACGTCCACAGAGTACAGGGCTGGCACCTGAGGAGGAGAAGTGCCAGGTGAATTGGGATATAAGGGGGGGAGGACAGAAGACAAAAGAAGGGAATGAAAGGGGGATCTAGGAGGGCCTCTACCAGACTACACAGTCCCTGCTACCCCCACTGGGATAAGAGGGTTAACGGGTGAGGGACACCTCACCTGGGCAGCAAACAAACTCTTGATACCAAAGTCTGCTCCTTTCAGCATGAGACTCCGGATTAGGATACAGATGAAGATGATGTAGGAAAGGAATACTGAGACATACAGCATCTGGGTAGGAAGTATGATTCTTCAAAGAAAGTTCAGCAAAGGCAAAAGTTGGGATAGTAGGGCCAAACTATTGGGAATCAGAGGTCAGATGAGGAGAAATGAGAAGTTGGAATGGCTGGTTTGGCTCAGTGGCTAGAACATCAGCCCGCAGACAGAAGGGTCATGGGCTAGATTCCCAGTCAAGGGTATATACCTTGGTTACAGGTTCAATGCCGGCCCTGGTTGGGGCAGGAGCGGGAGGCAACTAATCGATGTGTCTCTCTCACATTGATGTTTCTCTCTTTCTGTCTCTCCTCTCTCTCCCTCCCCTTCCACCCTCTCTAAAAATCAGTGGAAAAAATAGCCTATAAAAAAGCTGTGGGACATTTAAACAGTGGAATACTACGCAGCTGTAAAAAGGGGGGTCTCTTACCCTTGGAGACAGCATGGATGGACCTAGAGACTATTATGCTAAGTGAAATAAGCCAATCTGAGAAAGACAAATATCACATGATCTCACTTATTTATGGAATCAAAGAACAAAATGAATTGACCCACAAAATAACAACCAAAGCAGGGAGAATGGGACAGACTGACATACCTCAATGTGGGGGTGGGAGGACGAGAAGAGACAAACCAAATAACTTATATGCATAGCCCATGGACTCAGGCAATAGGGTGGTGAAGACCTGGGGGAGTGGGTAGGGGCTGGGCAAAGGGGGGTAGTGGCAGGGAAATGGGAGACATCTGTAATACTATCAACAATAAAAAACATATATTAAAAAATGATGTTCTTTTATTAACATGCTAGAGGCCCAGTGCACAAAATTCATGCACGGGGCGGGTGGGGGGGGTGGTCCTCAGCCCGGCCTGCAACCTCTCCATTCCAGGACCCTTCGGGGGATATCCGACTGCCTGTTTAGGCCTGATCCCTGCATCGGAAATCCCTCTTGCAATCCAGGACCGCTGGCTCCTAACCGCTCACCTGCCTGCCGGCCTGGTCACCCCTAACTGCCCTCCCATGCCAGCCTGGTCACCCCTAACTGCCTCTGCCTTGGCCCCACCACTGTGGCTTTTACCGAAAGGACATCCGGATGGATGTCTGGAAGACGTCGGTCTAATTAGCATATTACCCTTTTATTAATATAGATATCTCTAAGCAAGAACATCTAACCTAATAAAAGACAAACATGCAAATTGACTGTACCTTCTCTATGCCTTAAGCCATGCCCACCAGCCAATCAGAGCGACTATATGCAAATTAACTCAACCAAGATGGCGGCCAGCAGCCACGGAGCTGGAGTGAGCAGGAGGCTTGGTTGCTCCAGTGATGGAGGAAGCAAGCTTCCTGCCTGCCGCAGCCGGCTCTGAGCTCCACTCAAGGCTACAAAGTTTCAATTATAGAAGGTAAATAAATCCCAGAATAAAAGAAAAAAGAAAAAAAGGAGAGGCTGGGAGCTTCCATCGCTGGGGGGCTTGGCCAGCCTGAAAATGGCCCTCAGCCCCTCACCCAGACTGGCCAGGCACCCCAGTGGGGACCCCCCACCCTAAAGGGGGTGTGACCAGCCTGCAAACAGCCATCAGCCCCTCACCCAGGCTGGCCAAACCTCCATGAGGTGAGGGTCCCCACTAGGAGGAGCTTGACCAGCCTGCAAACAGCCATCAGCCCCTCACCCAGGCTGGCCAAACCTCCATGGGGTGAGGGTCCCCACTGGGAGGAGCTTGACCAGCCTGCAAACAGCCATCAGCCCCTCATCCAGGCTGGCCAGGCACCCCAGTGGGGACCCCCACCATGAAGGGGGGTGTGTGACCAGCCTGCAAACAGCCATCAGCCCCTCACTCAGGTTGGCCAGGCACCACAGTGGGGACCCCCACCCTGATCCAGGACACCCTTCAGGGCAAACCAGCCAGCCCCCACCCATGCACCAGGCCTCTATCCTATATAATAAAAGGGTAATATGCAAACTGACCCTAACAGCAGAACGACTGGGAATGACTGGTCACTATGACACACACTGACCACCAGGGGGCAGACCCTCAATGCAGGAGCTGCCCCCTGGTGGTTGGTGTGCTCCCACAGGGGGAGCGCTGCTCAGCCACAAGCCAGGCTGCCGGCTGCCAGTACAGTGGTGGTGGTGGGAGCCTCTCCCACCTCCTCAGCAGCGCTAAGGATGTCCGACTGTAGCTTAGGCCTGCTCCCCGCTGGCAGGTGTACATTCCCCGAGGGCTCCCGGGCTGCCAGAGGGATGTCTGATTGCCAGCTTAGGCCCAATCCCCCGGGGAGCAGGCCTAAGCCAGCAGGTGGTCATCTCCCGAGGTATCCCAGACTGCAAGAGGGCACAGGCTGGGCTGAGGGACCCCTACCAAGGGCACAAATTTTTGTGTACTGGGCCTCTAGTTTTAAATAAAAATTCAGGTTAAAAAATATATCCTCAGGTGAAAATTTTTTTAAAGCCCAGCTGGTGTGGCTCAGTGGTTGAGCATCGACCTATGAACCAGGAGGTCACAGTTCAATTCCCAGTCAGGGCACATGGCCAGATTGTGGGCTCGATCCCCAGTAGGGGGTGTTTGGGAGGCATCCAATCAATGATTTTCTTTCATCATTGATGTTTCTCTCTCTCTCTCATCCTCTCCCTTCCTCTCTGAAATCAATAAAAATATATTTTTAAAAAAGAAGTTGGGATCTACAGGCATCAAGTTAGGAGAATAATAGGGGTCTCAGGTAGAAAGGAGTCCATCAGATGAGTAAGTTAGAGGGTAACTCACCTTCCCAGTGGACTTGAGCCCTTTGATCATACAGATGCAGATAATTAACCAGGACACAAGTAGAGAGACAGAGAGATGCATGATTGGTAGCCCACCCAACTCAATTTCATCTGTGGTCTTCAGCACATGCCGGTACCAGAAGTATGTGGTGGATGTTGTCCGTGAACATTCAGGATCTGAGGTGAACTGGCCATGGAGGAAACTGCAAACCCAGGTTCCTCCCCTTCTTTTCCTCCACCCGCTCCTTCCCATCCCATTTCATCATCCATCTGCTTGTCCATCTATCTCAATGATCCTCTTCTTCCTTCATCCCCCTTTCCTCTTCTCAGCCCTCCTACTTGCCCTTTTCTTCCCTCCCATCTCACCAAAACTGGAGTTCTTCGTTAAGGGGCACAATGACCACGGCAGGGGAGACTGGAAAGACTGAACCAAATAGTAGAGACTCCAAGCCATGAGCACACTATAGTACAAGCCCACGATGAAGCACACCTAGGGACCATGAAGAATTCTGGAGGCGGGGAAGAAAGGTAGGCCAGCAGAAGGGAGGGAATTGGACAGAGGATCGGGGAATTGAAGGGGCTTGACCCACTGAAATGAAATCATGGGACCCATTCCAGGACAAGGGTTGGGATAAGGGTCAGTGTAAAGGGTAGGCCTGGGCAGCCCAGGGCTCCTCACCATGAAGCTGCTATACCCCACACCACCAAACCAGGGGCTCATGTTCTTCCACACACCAATGCTGCCCTGATGCATCCTCTGACCAACGGCTATCTCCATCACGAGGAGAGGAAATCCGACCAAAATCAGCATAAGGATGTAGACGATGATAAAGCTCCCTGTGCAGGGGATTCAGGAGGGCCTTGAGGAACATCTGGTGTTTTTAGTCCCTGGCCTTTTCTGAAAGTCCAGGAAAACACATTCCCTACCAGTGACCTCCCTCAGGGCCAAGGGCATCAGGCTTCAACTATTTCCACATCCCTCACCGTCCCAGGTGTCCAGTCCCTTATCCCCCAGTTCCTAGAAGACCCAGATACCTAGTTTCTACTCCGACTCTTGACCCAGACCTCCAGCCCCACCTTATGAACCCAAGTATTCAGATATCCTGTGCTCACCCTCCCAAGGTTCTTTGTATTCACATACTTAGCTCTTGCCCCATTCAGGACCCCAAATCCTCATCCCCTACCTATCTCAGAGACCCCAGAGAAGCCAGAACAAGCCTCTGGCTCCTTGACCCTTCATGGGTTCGAGATTCCTCCTCCCCAGGCTTACCACCTCCGTTGTGAAGACACAGATAAGGAAAGCGCCAGATGGTGCTCAGCCCAACGGAGTAGCCCACCTGAGCCATGAGGTACTCAACCTTATTGGCCCAGGATGGTCGGTCAGTGGCCAATTCGTCCTTTGGCTCATCTTTGTCTATGGCTTCCAGTGTTTTCTCGATATCTTCATTAAACCAATCCATACTTGGTTCCTCCCCATTCAATTCCTCAGTAGGCAACACCTTGGCGTTTTCGGTTGGGGGAGCTGAGGTCGTAGCAATCACAGGCTTGGAATCTGAAGGTCTAGCAATCACAGGCTTGGAATCTGAAGGTCTAGCAATCACAGGCTTGGAATCTGAAGGTCCAGCTATCACGGGTTTGGAATCGGGAGAGCTAGACATCTGGGCATTCTCATCCTGGGACTCCATGTTTTCAATAACATTCATCATTCTGAGAAGGCTCTAGTTTCTGCTTCTGCAAGGATGGGGCCTCCTTCCTTCTTGACCTTAAGGACATCAAGAACTTTAAATTTTAGCTGTATGAGTTGAGGAAAGACAAGACTAACCTTACAAAAACCCTGAGGCTTGCCTGGATGGCATGGCTTAGTGATTGAGCATCGACCTATGAACCAAGAGGTCACGGTTTGATTCCCAGTCGGGACACATGCTCTGGTTGCGAGCTCAATCCCCAGTGTGGGGTGTGCAGGAGGCAGCTGATCAATGATTCTCTCCCATCATTGATGTTTCTATTTCTCTCCCGCTCCCTTCCTCTCTGAAATCAATTTAAAAAGACATTTTTTAAAAAAAGGGATTACAAGAGAGTTCTGTGAACAATTAATTGTACACCAAAAAAACGTGGACAATCTACATAAAATGGAAAACTTATAGAAACAGAAAATCTACCAAGACTAAATCACAAAGAAATAGCAAATCTGGCCCTGACCGGTTTGGTTCAGTGGATAGAGCATCGGCCTGCGGACTCAAGGGTCCCAGGTTCGATTCCAGTCAAGGGCATGTACCTGGGTTGCGGGCACATACTCAGTAGGAGATGTGCGGGAGGCAGCTAATCGATGTTTCTCTCTCATGGATGTTTCTAACTCTCTATCCCTTTCCCTTCCTCTCTATAAAAAAAAATCAGCCCTGACCGGTTTGGCTCAGTGGATAGAGCGTCGCCCTGCGGGCTGAGGAGTCCCAGGTTCGATTCCGGCCAAGGGCATGTACCTTGGTTGCGGGCACATCCCCGGTTGGGGGTGTGCAGGGGGCGGCTGATCGATGTTTCTCTCTCATTGATGTTTCTGGCTCTCTATCCCATTCCCTTCCTCTCTCTGAAAAGTCAATAAAATATATATTTTTAAAAATCAATAAAATGTATATATTAAAAAAGTAGACTAGTGGTTGTCTTAGGCTGGTTTAAGGGGCTGGGGCAGTTGGGGTGATGGCTAAGATGTGTGGGGTTTCTTTTGGGGATAATGAAAATGTATTAAAATGGACTGTGGTGATGGGTGCACAACTCTGTGATAGACGAAAAACCATTGAAGTGTACACTTTAAATGGGTGAATTGTATGGGATGTGAATTATATCTCAATAAAGCTGTTAAAAAATAAAGCTACCAGGAAAAATTGAGACTAACAAGAAAATCTGAGTATTGACTGGTATTTGATATTAGGATTACTCTTATTTATTTTAGGTGTGATACATTTTGTCAGGTGTTCTTTTATTTATTTATTTTTTAATATATTTTATTGATTTTTTACAGAGAGGAAGGGAGAGAGATAGAGAGCTAGAAACATCGATGAGAGAGAAACATCGATCAGCCGCCTCATGCACACCTCCTATCGGGGATGTGCCTGCAACCCAGGTACATGCCCTTGACCGGAATCGAGCCTGGGACCTTCCAGTCCGCAGGCCGACGCTCTATCCACTGAGCCAAACCGGTTTCGGCCAGGTGTTCTTTTAAAGTGTTCTTATACTTCAGAGATTTGCTTCCAAGTAATGAGAGGCATGCTGTGGGTGAGGAGAGATGGAACCGGGTTGGTCACCAGTAGGTCAACTGAAGATGGCTGATGAGTACAAAAGTAACTCATCGTTACGCTTTTGTGTGTGTTTGCAGATTTTCCCAAATAAAAGGCCCAGAGGCCACGAGACATGAATCTTTGTCTGGCTCTCCCCGTCACTCATGGTGTGAGCCCCTCTTTCTTCCGGGTCTCCTGATGGAAACTGAAGATGACATCCCTGTACTTCATACCATTCTTGTGAGGCATAAAAGTGAAGCTGTGTGCAAGGCACCCTACCGAGGGGCGGGCCTTCCCTTTGTCTAACGAGGCCAGAAACGCCGGACAGCGGCGCAGAAGACAACCTGCCCGTGCTCAGGGTGCCCCGAAACCGCGCTTGATACAGTGAGGACCCCCAGGCCTCTGCAGAGAAGCACCCATGATAGGAACCAGTCTCCCGCCGTGGGATAGTCCCAATTCAAACAACCCTGCGAAGGACCTTCCACAAGTGGCCTGAGAGAGAGAAATCTGCAGGAGGAGGGCCAAGAGCTTCATTCCCTCCCAGCGGTTTACCCGGTGAGCCCCTACTTCTCAGTGCCTCCCCCACAGGCTCTGCTCCCGCAGCTGGAGCTGGAGGTTGGGGGGCAGGAAGGAGGATGAACACCTGGGTTCCCAAAAGGAAGGCGCTTGGAAGCTCCGGCCATTTGATCATGAGAAGGTGACTGCCCTCTCCCCGGTCCGACCTTACCTGGCTCAGTAGCAGGGTCTCAGGGGACAGGGCGTTTGGCTGGGGGCGGGGCCCCAGGTCCAGGAGGCGACGGGCGGTGCCGGGGAGCAGCCAGCGCCCGCGGCCGCCGTCCTCGCGCGGAGGAACGCGGGGGAACTGCCGAGGCCAGAGACGTTGGGCATCCCTGCTCTCCCCGTTCAGCAGACCCGCCCTAGGGTCCCGCCCGCCAGCGAAGGGTTGGGCACGTCCGCTTTTCCTTCCTTTGCCACAGAAACGTGTGCGGCGACAGTCGCCCTGTGGGAGCTGAGCAATCCGAAGTCCTGGAATCTCTTGGGCGTTGATTTTCCAGGGGGCCTTCGGTCTCGGGGAATCCCAACCGCCTGTACCCACAAGGCCCCGGTCCTCCTCCTCTCGGCGGCCATTACCTCGCTCAGTCGTGGACTCGAGCACTCCTGCAGGTTCCATGCCCGAGGGAATCATTTGCTTTAGCCCCGTGGGGAAAGGTGACTTACACTTGGATAGGGACCCTGGTGGGCTCTGGACACCATGCGGTCGTCCCCAAACGGGTTATGTTAGTTCACAGATCACTTCGTCTGTGTGAAGGACTTAGTGAACAGTCATGAGAATCTATTTTCCCCCCTCATTCAAAGATGCTTTTATTGATTTTAGAGAAAGAGGAAGGGCGAGGGGGAGAGAAATATCCATGTGAGAAACGTATCTGTCGCCTCCCCGATGCACCCTGACCAGGAATCAAACCCTCGGCCTTTCTGTGCATGGGACAACGCTCCAACCGAGCCACGCTGACCAGGGCAGTCTTGGAAACTCTAATTAAAATTTTAGACTATGATAGGAGTACCACGTCCCATGACCAAGCACATTAATGTCCGTTCCATCTTTGCTGAAACCACCACAGCCTGGGTTTTTTCTTGCTAAAGGCCAGTCCCTGGATAAAGGAAGTCAAGTAATCTAGCATCTGAATTTGCCACAGCGAGGAGAGGGCAGGAACTCGGGTCTGAATATTTAGCTCTCAAAAGGGTGGAAGTCTCCTGCAAGTAAGACTGAATGTCTGAGACATTTATAGAAAATAAAAACAAGTCTGCTCACACCCAGTGCTTGGATTGATTTATTGATCCTCCAGCTCCGTATCAGTCCGATTCAGTTAGCATCACTGACAGTGTGTATGTGTACACACTGAAAGGGGATGGGGAAAATGACAGTGGCAACCCGAGGGGTCTAGGAGGGGGGCTGCAAAGCCAGGTCCCAAGGGCCCCCAAAATAATGCTATATTCTCGGGGGGAAAAGGAGTTCTGGGTCCCAGGCCATCACAATTGGTAGCTGATAGTAAGAGTTGCCTGTTAGATCTGTCTTGAAGGATGTGAGATGTCAGGCCACATGGAGGAAGCTGGGATGTCACACAGCCGGTGGACCAGCGGTTTCCTTACCACCTTGTGGGGTTTCCTTCGTTTGGGCCTTGCTACTGAGACTTAGGGATTTGGAGGATGTGAGAGGTCCATCCAAGCTTCTGGGTTTGAAGGGAATACCATGGGCAAAGCTGTATACGAAGTATATGAGGATGGGGAGGGTGACAATGAGGAAGATAAAAATCAATGCAAGCAGCGCCCATGATGGGTATGGTCGAGGCACCTCTTTGGACTGTGGAGAGATGGGAAAGGGGTTCAGAAAATTGAAGCCCCCAGAAGACGAAAGGCTGTGGAAGGGAAGAGTGGGAGGGGAACCCGGGCAGAGGACTGAGTCTTCAGGGAGCAGAGAATGAGATGATAAGGTCCCTTTAGGTCAAGAGTGGATGGAAAGATCTGGCCCCCACTCCCTAGGAAGGTCGGGGGTCTGGAGAGGGAGGCTCACAGTGCTTGAGTCCCAGGCCACATAGGTGAAGGTCTTCAGAGACAGAAAAATCAGAATTATAGTAAACAGGACGAGCAGCACAAATGGACACACACAGCACCATAGGCAGTTAAAGATGGGCTGGATGGGGCGGTTCCACAGAGGCCCCAATTCTGCAAGGAACCTGGAAGAAAGGGCCAGGAGACTGTGGCAGGCCCAGTCAAGCCTTACCCTTCCTTGGGGGCCAAGGCCAGCCTGACCTTGTTTAGCATCTTCTAAATACTCCACGTCACTTCAGCTCAGGCCCCCTCTTCTCTCCTCCTCCCAGCCCAAGAAAAAATGTCCACCATTCCTCCATTGCTCTAAAACCTTTCACGGGTACCCAAGGCCCTCAGGATAAAGGCCAAGTCCCTTTCATTCACCCCATAAACATGAGAGTGTGTATGATGTGCCAGCGACTATTCTAGGTGCTGGATATGCACAGTGAACAAACATAGGCCCCCAAGAAAGTGAACATGCGACTCTCAGGGAACTTTTCTTAGTTCCTTCCAGCCCGTATGTCCAGCCTCCTTCAGTGCATGTTCTCAAACTTAATCAATATACAAATGGGGTCCTTTGGCCTAGCCAGTGGTCGGCAAATGGCGGCTCATGAGCCACATGCGGCGCTTTGGCCCCTTGAGTGTGGCTCTTCCGACTTCTGCGCATGGGCCACGAAGTTTCAATCGCACTGTACATGCGCCCGCACGTGCTATTTTGTGGAAGAGCCACACTCAAGGGGCCAAAGAGCCGCAGGTGGCTCGGGAGCCACAGTTTGCCGACCACTGGCCTAGACTATTCATCTGTCCAGACTCTGCGCAATTGTCCTCTCCTCTAACCTTCCAGGTGCCCC